AGTGGTTCAGAAGAATGGGGGGCAATAAACTCCTAGGTCTCACAGAACAGAAGCCAAGCCTAGCACACAAGTTTGCCTTTGGAAGTTCCACTTGTTTGACAGATGAAGAGACCCCACAAGAGGTGACAGATGTTCACCGTGGTAAAGCTCTGAGGGCAACAAATTTTAGCAAATCTCACCTAGTAGATGCACACAGGCACACGGATTAAAAGTATCAATACAGCCCAGGGCCCCAAGCCACAAAATGTGACGTGTGGCCCATGGTCCCAAGGCGGGGCAGCCTAAGGACTTAGTTGTCATCTTAATGAGTGATCTTTAAGGAGAAATAAATGGTGGCTCATGAAATACAGGGCTGAGCTAAATTGGGAGGTGTTGCCAACCCACACCTGAAAAACATGAACTAGTGCATGAAAATACACACTTTTGGTGTGAGAAAATAAAAAGCACAGAGGCAAGCTCCAAACATCACACTTCCTGCATCAAACAGATAGGTTTTTGAATCCCAGATTCTGAACGGTAGACAATTAGAAAGTTTTTCCTAAAAGACAAGCAGATAATAGGTTCAAGATTAATATAAACTTTGGCTGTATTAAAGCAGACTCACCTCCTTCAGGAAGTTTTTCCCAATTAGTTCTACTTACATACCCTACAGCCCCTCTGGGACTGTATCTTCCCAATATCCCTAATAACCAAGCATTAAGCAGATACCTATATAACAACATAGCCATGCATGAGCTGTCCATATATCTGTTTTCCATTGCCCTCTTTTCTCTATTAAGTGGATTATTCCTAAAGAGTTCTAAAGCCACGGTACAAAGGTGCAAACTGATTACTACAGAGCTTCAACTTAAGGTATGAGGCATCCATTTAGTATTTCAAAATTGTGTGCATGACATCTGTTAAGACTAAGAGCCAGTGGCCACATCCTTAATCTTTTATGTCCCTAACACTCAGCAATGCTGGGTGTGGCTCTTAATACATGTTTATGGGGGAAATAAATGTGTACCATTATATACTAGTGCTTCACTTTTCATGTGAAATAGGTCACTTGAAACTTACCTTGAACACTGCATTCTGTTCCTAAAGTCTTACAGCCAAAAAGACAGACGAAATGACCAATCACAAGCAATTAAAGAACCTAGGAGAGACCACTTGACAGAGGAGACTTAAGTGAACAGAATACAGTCTAAAAAAAAAAAAAAGATAAATCAGGACCGTGTTTAGTAAGTTCGTTTCCAGGGGTGAGAACAAAGACAGGAACATACCTCATTCTAGGAGATTAAAATTTAGGAGACGAGTTTAGATTAGAGCTAAGATAGTGAAGGCTTTCATGATAAAAATAATGACTGAAAACTCTAGAGGACTGTTTCATCATCTCCCTTAGCTACTGGAGGCAAGCCTATCAGTGTTGAATTTTCAAGGACACCTGGTTGATCCTTTAGTCCAATATCCAGTTCCATGCCAGCACAGAATATTGTTCTTTAGCAGTTGGCTTTTCAGAATAATTTACACCAAGTGATTACCATTTCCTTACCCGTTTTTCTTCTATGAAGACAGCTGGCAGAGTTATTTCACTTATACTGGTTAGATGCCCCAAAACACAAGAAAGCTAAACGATATACCCAACATCACAAAAGCAGTTAAAATGGCTTTGAATTCCAAATCTCAAACCGTCCTTCTGTACTTACTCTCTATTTGCTACAAGGAGCAAGCAATGTTTCTGTTTCAGAATTCCTTGAGGACATGCTTCTGGAGACCTGCTCCTAGCTCGTGTTTCAAACTCTCAGGCATTACATTTAAATAGTTTTTATTTTTATGTTACTGACAAATTTACCCAAACCGAACACAGCTGAGAGCCCTGTAGCTAGTGTTTACACTCCTTAGGGTGGGGGCAGGGAGTGATCAAATGACTAAAAACTCAGGCTGGAGAAGGACATGGCAACCCACTCCAGACTTCTTGCTTTGAGAATCCCCGTGGACAGATGAGCCTGGCAGGCTCTGGGGTCACAAAGAGTTAGACGTGCCAAAGCAGCTGAGCACACACACATGCATAACAAAATGTACCATCTGAGCCACCTCTGAATGTACGGTTCAGTGACATTAAGCACACTGACAATGTTGTAAGCCATCACCACCATCTACCTCTAGAATTTTTTATCTTCCAGACTGAAATGTTGTACCATGAAACACTAGCTCCCCATTCCTCCCAGCCTCTGGCAACCACTATTCACTCCATTTCTGACTTTGACCATTCTAGATGCCTCATCTACATGGAATCATACAGTATTTGTCTCTTTGTGACTTTCACTTAGCATAAGGTCCTCATGGTTCTCCTTTTTGGCTGCCATATTTTGAAGGTCGAAATTGGCAGACTGAATGAGAAGACAGAGAATGAGAGGAGGTGAGAATGATTGCTAGATTTTTGACCTGAAGCTGGATGGATGGAGTCTCCATGGAAAGCAGAGCTAATACATCGGTCCACAGCCATGACTACATTCCAGCATGTTCTCACATCCCCTTCACCCCTGCTCTAGCACCTCACTACAGGTGCCATAGCAACAAGGGACCAGTGGGATTTCCCAGGTGATCAGGTGAATCTGCCTCGCAATGCAGGTGACAAGGGTTCTATCTGTGGTTGGGGAATTAAGACCCCACATGCCAAGGATCAACTAAGCCTGCATGCTCCGGGGCCCATGAGTCACGCTAGAGAGTCTAAGACAGCAATGGTCCCGCAGGACTCCACAGAAATCCCACATGCCGCAACTAAGACCCGACATAGCCAAATAAATAAATATTAAGAAAGAAAAAAACAAGGCACTGGTAACGCCTTTAAGTCTTTCCATCATCCAAATGAAAGAAGCAAGGAGGATTTGGACATTCATCTTGCCCTCCCCCAGTGTCAGTGAAACAGAAAACGACTCAAGAGTCTAAGAATACTATCAGAGAACAAACAAGTATCTCAGTCACTGATATACACACCCTCAGAGTCAGCAATTCACCAGCTAACATGCTACGGGATGAGACGCTGAGAGAATCTTGTACACCTTACTTAACCCGAATAAAGAGTGAACGTTGATTGGCAAGGAGAGTTTTCCACCAGATCTAGCCCAGAAGCTGAACAATTCAGTCCCTGATCACAGAGACAATCTTAGAGCCAATTGCTTTCCTCTTTTGTCTTTCCAAGTCTCCTTCCCTTGGTCAGCACTCACCTCCTCATGACGAGGGTGACGGCGGTGGTGTCCACACAGGATGTTACCTCAGGTCTCGCCCCAGCCCGGCAAGTCTTCCAAGGAGGTGCAGACAAGCCATCCCCTGCTCAGAGCTTTAAGGATCCCCTTTATCTAGGGCACAGGACCCTGGGAGGAGGATGCCCCAGCAGACACATTACACCTTTCACCCTTTGGAGGGGCTCTTTCCAGCTACACCCTCTCCTGGAGACTCTCAAACCACCCTCCTGGGGCTGTGCATCCCCTCCCAACCTGAGACCAGTGCATCTGCACAACAAACTCCTTTGCATGACCTTCAAGGCCCTCCATGATCCAGCACCAATCCAGCCTCTCCACACTTAATCTCTGCTACTTTCTTCCACAGACCCTAACATCCAACCAAGCTGAGCCCCTCATCCCGCCCCCGCCACAACACACACTGTGCAACCTCTCATCCATGCATCTGTCTTTGCCTTTGCTTAGAATGGCTTTCCTCCCATCACCTCACATTCAGTCCTCCCTTCTTCAACAGCCCTCTTCAACACCCCCTCCTCCAGGAGCCCTTCTCCGAGCCCTCTGCCCGCCGCACTATCTTCTCTGAATCCCCATGTCTGTCTCATGTGGGCTCCTTTCCCATGAGAAGGTCCTTCTCTCCTATCAGACCATGGACTCGCACTGGTCAGGCGCATTCTTATTGGTTCCTCTCCCAGGGCCTGACACATGTCATTAGGGTTCAGAGTTTGTTAAGTCAATGAACAGATACGACAATCATTTATCTGAGTCAAATATATAACTAGAAAATCACTCAGCACAGGGACTCCTGGAACGTCAGGATCATATTTGTTTCCTTGCTCTGTGCCTGCTGCATGTCACCTTTATGATCACATACAAAATCCAATGAGATAACAGAAAAACACGTCTGAACTCTTATCATAGGTTTGTATTAACTCTCAGGTTCTCAATTGCCTGTTTTTTCCTCAGTCCTACTCCAGATTTTTAATATCTTATTGTTTATCCATTCATTCTACTTTTTTTTTTTTTTTTACAAAACAAAACCAAAAAAGAACTTTAAATTTTGCCCAATACTCCTGAGAAATTTTCCCTTACACTTAAGTCAAAACAAGGGTAAGTTAACTGTAGTGGGTTGAATAGAGGTACCCCAGGAGATACAGCCAAATCCTAATGCTCCCCTCTCACCTGTAAATGTAACCTAATTTAGAAATAGAGCTTCTGTAGGTGTAATTAAGTAAAGGATCTCAAGATGAGATCATCCTAGACTTGCAGTGAGCCCTAAATCCAGTGACTGGTGGAAGATCTGAGACATAGACACAGAGGAGAAAAAGGGGCAAGGGCAGGCTCTGAGAAGGTGGAGACAGAGATGGAAGTGATGCTGCTGCAAGCCTAGGAACTTCTGGAGCCACCAGAAGGTGGACAAGGCAAGGAATGGTCCCTCCTGGAGCCTTTGGAGGGAGGATGGCTCTGTCAACACCTTGATTTGGGGCTAATGGCAGAACTGTGAAAGAATAAATTTCTGCTGTTTGGAGCCATCAGGTCTGTGATAATTTATTATGGCAGCCATAGGAAATTAATACATTAACCCATTGTATCAGTCCCCAAATAACACCCAAACCCAACTCTTCAGCCAGTTTCCTCTCTTCCTATTACTCCTTAAAAAAAAAAAATCATCTCGTTTTACTTGGCTTTCCTCTCTCCCACCTTGTACTTGTCAGTCCCTGTCTCAGTGCAGGCTGTCATAAAATAAAAATTAAAAAAAACAACACTCTATGGACTGGGTGGCTTAAACAATAAACATTTATTTCTCATGTCCTAGAAGCTGAAGTCTGAGGTGAGCATGACAGCAAATCTGGTTCTGGTGACTTCTTCCAGGTTGCAGACTGCCGACTTCTCCCTGTGTCCTCGCTTGGTAGAAAGAAGCCCATCTATCCCTCTGCCTCTTCTAAGGGCAGTGATTCATTCCAGAGGGCTCCATCTTCATGGCTAATCTTCTTCCAAGGACCCACCTTCAAACACCATCACACGGGGGAGGGTGGGTTACATCAATATTCGGTCCATAACAGTCCCCTTTCTGCCTTTCAGTTTTCTTTCTCTACTCACTGTTTCTTTCTGGTTTGGGTGCCACTATTCCTAACCTCGCTTCATCATGCAGGTGGAACCTCTGAATGGCCTCCCTGGAAGTCCCTGCGTGATGAATGCTGGATTTATACTGCACACTTCACCACGTGAGAGGTGAAACCTCTCATTTGGAGCAAAAGCCACGGGAAATAAGTAAAAAGCTACTCATCATGTCATTAGAGAATCTTAGCCCACTTCGAACCTACATCTTCAGGTCATCATCTCTCCTGATAACCAGCAATTTCAGTCATCTTCTACATGCATTTCTGTTGGTCTTCTGAGAATTCTCATTTCCCAAAGTAGAGAGGCCACACCGTCTTTGGTGAGCCTGGGCGGTACAGGGGTTGCTGTGCTGCGGGAGATGATAGTGCGACAGGAAACCGGGAGAGATGGCATCACCCCGCTTCCCACCCACCCTCAGCAGCAGGGAAGCAGCAGAGCAAACAGCACCCGGGGGAAGGAGGAGATTTCCAGTTACTTCCTTCCCGGGTTCTTCCCCGGAGCCTCTGTTATTCCTACCCATCCTGAGCCAGAAAAGAGTGCAGCGAATGAAGAGTAAAATGTCCTAGCCTTACAGGATGCATGCAGGAAGTCATCAAACCAGGACAGGAAGCCCCCAGTCACAGTAAGACTCTGTGCTCACCTGGTGAAACACCACTCAGAAGTCCCCGTGTGTGGTGTGTGTGTGTGTGTGTGTGTGTACGGCCTTTACATCTTCTTCATCAAAGAAATACATGTAAATTAGTTTAAAGTCAAATATGCAAAAGTATTTTTACAAATCCTCTGTCCCACTCCCCTGCCCCCCACCTGTGGCCCTCTTCTCTGGAGCAACTTCTGAACTTCTTGAGGGATTTAGCTTCATTCTTTAAAATGTGCTTATGCTCTTATTTCTGCCACCTCTTGATTTATCCATTTCAGACACTGACTCTTCACTCTGCATTGTGATGCATGAAGTTTTAGTTCTCTGCTCTCTCCCTCCTCCCAACAATGGTATTAATAAAAACCAGAACAGGCTCCTAATGATGGGGCCTTTGTTAGGTGCCAGGCACGTTCCACTTTAGCACAGCTGGTCACCTTTTCCTCCCAGATCCCACACTCCCTCCTGTTCCCCACCTCACTGGTTACTCCCTGGGTCACCTCTGCCAGTTCTCTCTCTCCCTGCCCTCTTGGGGATGGAGCACGCAGGGTTCAATCCCTGGTCCTCTCTTCTTCCATCCACTCTCCCTGCTTGGTGGTCTCATCTAAGCTCACAGCTCTAAGTACGTCCATTTCTTGATAACTCCCGGGGATTCATGTCTCTAGCCCTGACCCCTTTCCTGACTCCAGACCCCTATGTCCACCTCGCTTCCTGACCTCTCCACTTAGATGGCTAACAGACACCCCACACTTGGCACATCCCACACCCACTCTGGCTGATCATTCCAAGAGCTGCTCCCCCTGCTGAGTTCATCATCTCTGTGATGACAGCTCTGTCACTGTGGGTGCACGGATACAAAACCTGCAGGGAGGCTGGGGTACAAAGAGAAGAGAGTCAGTGAGAAAGTGCCCACAGCAGATGTGGTAAAGACATCTTAAAAACAAGCTAATATACCCAACAGTCATAGCAGGATTATTCATAGTAGCTAAAATGTGGAAATACACGAGCATCCATCAATAGATGAATGGATAAACAAGATGATATATACCCATACAGTGGAATATTATTCTATCATAAAAGGAATGAAGTTGATAAATGCTCCAACATGAACGAATCTTGAAAGCCTTATGCTAAGTGAAAGAAGCCAGACACAAAAGGCCACATATTACATGATTCCATTTACATGAAATGTCCAGAATAGACAAAGAGCAGATTATTGGTTGCCAGGGGATGAAGACAGAGGGGAAGTGAAGAGGAACACTGATGGATACAGGGTTTCTTTCCGGGATGATGAAAATGATACACGATTAGATAGTGGTGATGGTCGAACAACTATGAATATGCTAAAAACCACTGAATTGTACACTTTATAACAGTGAATTTTATGGAGTATGAACTACATTTAGAAAACTTTTTTATGAGCTAACATTCAAATTTAAATAGTGTGCTGTAATGTGTTACCAAGTAACTCATTCTCCTTACTCCAGCCTTCAGTTAAGAACTGCATATACACTGCCTCTCTTAGAACAAGTTGAAGCAAATTAAGAGAAAAGAATGATGTTCTGTGTTTGCATGAATATGGAGAAAAGTAAACAGTCACACAAGGACTGTAGAGAGGAGATTAGGGATTAAGGAAGCAAAAATTAGATCAGGAAGTAACTAGGAGAAACCTAAGACTTGTGATGCTTCTACAGGTATCTGTGGTGAAAAGAAAGTGTCTGACTCTTTGTGACCCCATGGACTGTAGCCCACCAGGCTCTTCTATCCATGGGATTTTTCAGGCAAGAGTACTGGAGTGGGTTGCCATTTCCTTCTCCAGAGGATCTTCCTGACCAGGGACCAAACCCAGGTCTCCCACATTGTAGGCAGATGCTTTCCATCTGAGCCACCAGGGACCTGTGGTAGGTGGTGCCAAAGATAGAACCTGCTGGTTTTCCTCCCGTTAGAGACATGGGGACTCTAGAGATATTTGCCAGTTTCCTCCCAGCCTCCAAAGTCTCTGGTTTTGTTCAGATATGTACCTCTCGCTGACACAGTCCACATCCCGCATGGAAAGCCTTTGGTTACAGGGGCGGGGTATTGGCCCAGAACTAAGCTCCTCAGTGCTGGTCCCAAGATGAACTTAGAGTGTCAAGTCAGAATAAAGTCAAAACAGGGGATGGAAACAGTGTTTCCCGATGCTGTATCTCTGCAAGGGAAAGTCCAGGAACTGCCTGCAGCCATCTTGAGAGGAGGTGGTTTGAATATGGAGCTAACGCAAAGAAAGAGAACCAAGACTTGGACAGTAATTCTGACATATGAGCCATGGATCGAGCTGCATCCACACCTTTGTCTACTATTAGACTGTTCAGTTATACAAGCCAATTAGTTCCTTTTTATGGGGTGAGCTTTCTGTAACTCGGAGCAGCAAAGATCACATCTATAGTCAGGTGATAATGTCTGAGAGCACACACAAAGTGTGCAAACTACACCTTACTATTTCCCTATTATGTGACTTATTTTTTCATCAGAGGTTTATAAAAAGGGGCATAAAACCTCCTGAAAATTCTGCTTATGAAATACTTACATGGGTTTCATGATAACTAAAACAAATCTATAAAGCTTTCAAGACTTAATAAAAATGTAACTGACAAAATTAATTTTTATTTGTGTTAGCCTTAAATATTTTGAACATGTAAGTCTATACTTGACAAATCCAAGTTTGAGCCACATTAATGTTATTCCTGTGAACACATCAACCATTTGGTTTCTATGGAAGGTCAGGTGCCGTGTTGTTTTGGAGTTTGTATGTGTGTGTGTGTGTGTGTGCTCCATCGTGTCCAACTCTTTGAGATCCCATGGACAACAGGCCACCAGGCTCTTTAGTCCATGGAATTTTCAAGGCAAGGATACTGGAGTGGGTTGCCATTTCCTATTCCAGTGGACCTTCCTGCCCCAGGATCGAACCTGAGTCTCCTGCACTAATAGATGGGTTCTTTTCTGCTATGCCACCTGGGAAGCCCATTGGAGTCAGTGGGCTGCAAGTCAAGTTGGCCAGGCCCAGGCTTGCCCTTAGCCTGTAATCCACCCAGACTCATTACTCCACACAGTTCATGTATCAGTCTCTAGGGGCCGTCCCATCCCAGAAACTAGCTTGGACGCTTTTCATGTGATGCCCTAAGTGACAGATGTCTCTGTATGTAAAATGGAAAATCATAGCAATCGCTGGAAATGTCACCATCACCGCCTGAGTATGCAGGAGACGCACCCAAAACAAAATAACTAATGGTGAAAACAGAGTATGAGCAAAAACCTACCAGGAAAATGAAATGAGGAAAAAATTGGAATATTAATGGTTTTGGCAACCTGGAATTTTCCCACCCCACACACTGACCTAAAGCACGCGTCAGGCTCAGCCAGCACCTCACAGCCAGCAGTAACCTCACAGCATCGAGCTCTCCACCGCCTGGGCCCAGCTCCTCACTGACTTAGTGAATCGGGCCCCTCTCCCAGCTGAGGAGCTGGTCAGCTGGCCCTAGGCAGGCACAGTTTTCTTTGTACAATATCTGCTATAAATCAAAGGTTCCTAAAAAGCCCTGAAGGTGGTAAGTAGGATGCTCCCAGTTCTCCAGAGGAAGCTGGAGGGGAAGCAGGAAACCTCACTGCCTCAGCAGTCCAGCCCAGTCCACCTGCCACACATTGTTCTCAGCCCCTTTTCTTTCCTTCAAGATTTACTGATGCCTTCCTGGAAGGGCTCCTGCTGCTCTGTCGCTCAGTCGTATCCGACTCTTTGCCCCTCATGGACAGTAGCCCACCAGGCTCCTCTGTCCATGGGATTCTCCAGGCAAGAATACTGGAGTGGGTTGCCATGCCCTCCTCCAGGGGATCTTCCCAACCCAGGNGCTCAGTCGTATCCGACTCTTTGCCCCTCATGGACAGTAGCCCACCAGGCTCCTCTGTCCATGGGATTCTCCAGGCAAGAATACTGGAGTGGGTTGCCATGCCCTCCTCCAGGGGATCTTCCCAACCCAGGGATCGAACTCACATCTCCTGCACTGGCAGGCAGATTCATAGTTTGTTCTAATTCCCGTCTCATCTATTTCCCATGGCAAATGGTGGATATTTTATACATTTAGGATCCTTAATTTGCCTGTATAATGTAAATACGGAGCAGTGCAGCCCACCTCATTGTTTCAAAATTATTCAAATTTTGCTCATTCTTGCGTGCCATAACTGCGGCTTCTGCTTGAGTAACCACTCCCTGCCTGGTAGTCATTATTTCCCATTTGAGGCATATTTAAAACTATGCAGATGTGCTTTAGTCTTGCTGTTATCGTTTACCAATAAAAGGAAGCCAGATTCAGTGACAACAAGTTCTCTGCAAATTGCTTCACACTGGATATCTTTGGGAGCCTCTCAAAACTGGTTTTTAAAAAAAGAATGAAGAAAAAGAGCAATTTTCTTTACAGTGCTTAGAGGCTTTTCCATGGATATTTCTGAACGTCAGATAAGATCATTGCTGCCTTTGTAAGTATTAGCCACAAGAAAAGAGATAAAAACAAATACTTTCTACCACCCTGCACACAATAAAGAGCTAAGGAGCCAGGATATTATACAGTTCATCCGTGTATTGATATTTAGTTGATAAAATATTTCTACAAGACCAGCCTTCATGCTATTTTGACAACATGAATCTTTGTGTCTATAGATTAAGACAAAGAAAGATTTTAGCCAAATATTTAAGGAGGCTGAAAGCTTTAGAAAAATATAAATAAAGATTTTGTATTTATGGTACAAAATAGAAACAAGAAACCCAGGCACTCTCTTCTGCCCTTGGTGGATATCTTTGTTTGAGGCTTGCACCTGTTTGGGGCTTCCCAGGTGGCGCTAGTGGTAGAGAACCCACCTACCAAAGCAGGTAGACTTAAGAGACATGGGTTCGATCTCTGGGTCAGGAAGATCCCCTGGAGGAGGTCATGGCTACCCACTCCAGTATTCTTGCCTGGAGAATGCCGCGGACAGAGGGGCCTGGAAGGCTATAGTCCACAGGGTCACACAGAGTCAGACACGACTAGAGCAAAGCAGCATGCAGGCAAGCTGGCGGCTCCAGAAGTTCCGTGCCTCTGCATGCGCCATCTCTACCTGAAACAACCTCCCCTTCCCACCACGTGGCTGGAAACCTCCTGCTCCCCCATTAAGACACAGCTCAGATGTCACCCCCTCATTTCTGACTCCCCAGCCGGGGTTGCTGCTGCCTTCTGTGCCTCAGCAGCACTCTGACTGTCACTTGGCCATCAGCGCTGTGATTCACCTGTTCACACGTCTACCCTCGTCACTACACAGCAAGCCCTCCGTGGGCAGGCTCTGCAGACGCATCTCTAAGGCCCACTACATAACCTGGTGTGCCTCACTCAAGGAAGGGGCTCACTGATGAACAAAAGAGTGAATGCATGAGTGACTGAAAAACTGACTGAGATACACACATCCAAGGTGGCAAACTGCTGGCTAAGAATGATACACCAGTTGTCACCAGGCCCTGCCCACCACACTGCTCCACTTAAGAGCACACCCCTCATATCTCTTGTGAGAACTGCCTTCCCAGATGTAACAGCCACTCCTGAGGATCCAGGAAGTAACTCCCCTCCTAAACAGTGGGAAACAATTTTTTTTTTTAAATAATAACTTAAATTAGTTGAGTGATAGCATTTCCCTTTAATGAATTTCTAAGAAACAAAAGCTCTGCCATAGACTACCTTCCAATCAGGCATGCTCTTCAAGCATCACTGAATTCCCTCTTGAATAAGAATGGCGCAAATGGGCCTCTGGCCAACCACTGAGCTTTGCATGGTAATTTCCACAGGAAAGGTGTACAGCAAAGGACCTGGAGACAGCC